ACAAAGGCAAGCGCAAGGGCAAAGGAAAGTACAACAAAGGCAAAGGCTGTGGCGGCTACGAGAACAACTACAGCTACAACAACTACAAAGGAGGAACAGGCAAATACAATCAACAACCAGTTGGACAAAGAAACCCTTTCAAAAGAAAAGGATACAGCAACAAAGGAAAAGGCAAGGGATACTACAACAATCAACCAGGAAAAACGGAGCAGAAGGAAAGCAAGCAACGAATGATTGCTACAGATGCGGACAACCAGGACACATGGCCAAACAATGTAGAGCGGCGATCTACAACTGCGACACTGGCAACTTCGACACCAATGACCAGACAGATGACTGGTACAGTCAGGCACACGATGGCAGCAACTAGTACCACCAGGATCAGACACAGATGCAACAACTAGCACTGCCACAACCAGCAGATTAATGAGCAGCACCCATCTCAGGATTACAAGAAGTAACAATTGCCATGATTGGCACAGCGCAACAATTCACAGAAGATAACAAGTGGGTCAGTCTCACGATTGACAGCGGTGCGGCTACACCTGTATGCCCACCATGGTTTGCAACACCATTTCCACCACAGCGCCTCCAGTATGGATCAGGACCAACGCATCAAGCTTCACGGGCACAGATGGGCTTGTCATACCATTTCGGTTACAAGGCTGGCGGAACAAGGTTTCAAACTTACACTGGATGACAATCCAGAACTACAGCGCGCCAAAGGATTCAACAGCACACTTGGAGAACAGAGATGGCCTGTTCTTCCTACAAGCAGAAATCGCAACACTGCCAAGAGGAACAAAGCTACAGACACACAGCGCACAGCAAGGACACATTGGCATGATAGCACCGACCACAGCACTTACACCACAAGGTCCTGCAGACACAGGTTATGCAGGAGACTACTGGCAGTTCAACACACAAGGTGAACTTGTCAGAGTACATAGACAATACAGGAAGACACTCTTCACACCATCAAGAACACAGTGTCCAGTTCCAGCAGAACAACTTGAGGACTACAGAAGAACCAGATTTAAGGGTGGCGCAACGAACACGTTAATTGAGGACAAGTGCCAAATAGCAGACGCTCCAAACAAAGCGCAACAGCAAATGTGCAAAGGAGAGACAGCATTCAGGACAGCATTGCCAGGGACACAGCAGCAACAAAGACACAGCTAAAGAGAGCAGAACAGAAGGTTACACCACAAGTAATTCAGTACAATCCACGCACACGGCTGAGAGAGAAAACTACACCACCAACAGGACAGGGGACAGCAGCGCCGCGCAACACCAAAGGTGCAGCTGGACAAGGACTACCGCATCCTGCAGAAGTACATCATGGAGGAGATTACTGGCGCAGAGAAGGCCCATACTGGAAGAGAGTACACATCAAGCCACACACACAGCAATTTACAGAGCAGACACATGACGGGTCAGACATTAAGCGACTTACACCTTGGAAACAGACCAAGGTACAACTGGTGGGAGAAAAGCGCAACACAAGACTGGTAGAACATGAATGGACAACATAGCAAGCAAAGACATCAGACAAGCCTTGGACAGGCTGGACAAGCAGGGCAAGGAAATTCCAACACAACTAAGCGGATGAGGAGCAACAGCAAGGCAGAAGAGCAAAAGCAGTACAAGCACCCAAGCAACCAACATGACAGGAGGACACACCTATCCTACAGGAGTTGGTGTCCAATATGCGTACAAGCAAGAGGCAGACAGAACAATCACCCAAAGCAACACAGCAAGCTTCCAATCACACAGCTTGACTTCGGCTACAGCAAGGGCTTTGATGACAGCAACAATCCTCACAGCAATTGACATCCAACCAGGGTGATCATGGCCATACAACTGACCAACAGGAGGATGCTCTTCGACTATGCAGTCACACAACTACAGCACTGCCTCATTGAATGTGGAAGAACATTACACACCATACTACAACCAGATCAGGAGACTTCCTGACAGCGCTGATCGCAGCACTGGCAAACAAGACTGGCAATATCACCACAAGGAACTCAGGAGCATACAGTTCACAATCACAAGGAGGAGTAGAGCGAGCGCACAGAACACTGTTTGCGCAAACCAGAACACTCAAGGCACAAACCAGGCAGAACTACGACAGAGACATTCCACTGGAACGTCCACTCACGCCTTGGATAGTTCGACACAGCGCAGACATCATGAACAGATTTGCGATCCACAGCAATGGATGCACGAGCTACTTCAACAAATAGAACCGAGAGCAACACACACCACTTCGCGAGTTTGGTGAGACAGTGCAGAACATGCTATGAACAGCGAAACAATTGCCAAATCTCGGGCCGAGGTTCTACAACGGGATCTGGCTTGGCAAGGATACAACTACAGGCGAGTCCCTCATTGGGACCTACAACAAGATTGTCAGGGCAAGGACAATCAGAAGGCAGATAGTGCCTCGCAAATACAACCAGCAATTGCTGGACTGTGTACACACAGGTCCATGGAAGACACCAGCATCAGCGCTGCCTACACCTACTCTCACAACACCAGATAGCAAGCAAAGCACACATCTCCGAAGGGTGCAGCAACAAGCGCAGCAGCAGAAGGCAAGAGACACGTCGCAATCGAGTGATCAGCGCACAAAGCAGAAGAAGACAGCAGAGCCAACATCACCAATGGCTACAAAACCAACACATCAGAAAAGACCAGCGTTGCCAGCGCCACCGCCTACATCACACACAGGAGAAAGAGATGACGCAATAGCAGAAGGCAGCGCAGACAAGCAACAGCGCACCGCAGCAGACAGACGAGCGCTGGAGCGGCCTACAACAACAGAACAACCAAAAAGGCAAAATGAGGATGAATGTCATCAAGTTTACAACCAGAGATGGCAAACAAATGGAGACAACGTCCAGCGAGGACACAGAAGAAATCGACAACGAAAGGATCCTACTAGAGCCGATCATACATGACACAGAAGGCTTGGATCCACAACTCGTTTCACAAGGCGTGGAGGAAGAAGTGCAGCAAATGAAAGACCAATCAGTCTTTACAGAGATTGATGGCAACACAATGACACAAGAACAACGAGCAAACATCATTAAATCAAGATGGGTTCTTAAACCAAAACACAACGAAGCACGAGCACGAACAGTAGCAAAGGGCTACACAGAACCCGTTACAGACCATGACCTACTCGTTGCAAGCACACCATTGTTTTGCATGCTGAGGGTACGCCTCACAATGGCTCTGGTGTACAACTGGTCAGTCTGCGCAGGAGGTGTCAGCTTTGCATTCCTACACGCAGCAGCAATCTCCTACAACTTGGTAGTAAGACCACCAAAAGAATTCTACAACGGAGCAAACAGACACATAATGTGGCGGCTGAACAAAGCTATCTACGGCTGAAGATCATCGCAGTCCACATAGCACACATCCTCACAGTTACACTTGAACTTGTGAGATGCGCAACAGAAAGCAATGTCTAGCACTGCCAGGTCTACATCATGATCTGTGTAGACGACCTCCCATTCACAGGGGTACAGAGCATCATTGACACGCTGCAGAATGGAGAAAGAGGCACTGCTGAGACACACAAGCAACCTCAATGTAGGCACAACAATACATTGACTTGGCAGGAACATGTCACACAAAGGCAACTACATCGACATAAGCTTGAACAACAACTACGTTGACAACATCCTGGAAGAGTTAGGAATGACTACATGCGACCCAGCAGCAGAAGATGAGGCTCCACTCGACCACGAACAGCAGCAAGCAATACAGGCGGGTTGTTGGCAAGGTACAATGGCTAGCGTACACACGACCAGACATCAGCCATGTAGCAAAGGAACTAGCAAGATCACTACAAGCACCAACACAGTTTGACAACAAGAAGCTCAAACACATGATAGGGTACGTCAGAGGCATAAGGTTTTTGCGACACAACCTGCAACCAAAGATACAGATACAGGACAAGCGAATCCCACTCAACATCGACACATACACAGATGCCAACTGGGCATCGTGCGCGGCAACAAGAAAGAGCACAACTGGATTAGTGATACACTTCTTCGGAGCAGCGACACACTTATGGGGTCAGAACGCAAGCAACAATGGCACTTTCATCAGCAGAGTTAGAATTGGTACAGCAGCACAGGAGAGCCTCTACATCAGCAACTTCATCAAGGAAGCATTTGGAGTACGCACCAACATCATGACACACGCAGACAGCAGCGCAGCTAAATCAATCACGATGCAAGAAGGTACATCAAAGAAAGCAAGCCGCATTCAGCTGCGACGCGCTCAACAAGCACATGCACGCAGTTGGCCTGCGGGGCCATCGCAACAGTTTCACACCAGTAGGTACAGTAGTCAGCGCAGTTTGTTAAACAACAGTTGCACAGGTCACCTTCCTTGTCTACAACGGAAGTGAAAGCGCTACAACTTAGTTTCACTTAGGATATCCGGAGCCATGTCAAACATGGACTTGCACCCTTTTTACCTTTTACATCAGTGAGGTACATTCTTCCCGAGGACAGCATTGCCCAGAGGAAAACAACTGCGCTTCACTTCACACACAGGTTCATCGCATCAGGTAAATAGGTATACAGTTGCTCCAAGTTTAACAATACTATACATAAATGTTATATTATATTCTATTATACGTGAAACTGTGAGGCCGCCAGATCTTTCCCAGGTGTGTAAGTGTGTTCACTGCTCCTCTACCATGTTAAACTTGGAGCAACTGCTTTCCTTTGTGCGCGAGGTGCAAACCTGTGTGTGAATCAAACCGGCAATGTAGCGCTGCTTGTTCTCCTGATGTACTATAGGCTCAAGGCCTGGATGTATCCACAAGTAGCGAATGTAGCCCGAACTGCACAGTGCAGGGAAAGCATGTTGGATCTTAACATGTATCTCTATCGCTACACATATATAGAAATACACCAATATATATGTATACAGATATTCTACGTGAAATATGTATTGGGCACGTTGGCTTTGAGGTCTGTGCCCCAGGGCTGCTGGACGCCCGGCGCGGGGTGGTCAGCGCGGCCGCAAACCTCCGCGGCTGGAGGGAGGTGCCACTGGTGAAGCTCCTCGCAGAGGACCCTCCGTATCTCCATAACTTGAGAAGGGTAAGGGTGTGTGTGTGTGTGTGCGTCGTGTTTGTTGAGGGCCCACTAAAAGGTGGTTTTCCTTCCTAGAAAACAAGACGCCCAAGAGTCAAAGTCGCAGTTACCCAGGGCTCCCGAACTGGGAGTGTCACGACGTTTAGGCGCATGGTGCTCGGCGTTTAACATGGAATTGACATACATCAAACCTCACTTTGCGAGGCTCAAAATGTCAATGTCACGGAGTGAGACTCTTCCTTCGAACCGGGCGGTGCACATCGCGTGCTATTCGGGTTGGAATGATGTGACGTTTCGGATAAAGGTATTTGTGCATTTAGAAAGGCTGGCATTTGACGCCCGCAGTCATCCATTGTGGAGTCAAACCTTGTTTTGCTGAAGCGTCTCATGTTTACGTGTGTTTCCACAGCATTCTCCCAACTTCGCTGAGCATCAACACGTGCTTGAGAAGGTAGATGGGAGACTGTGGGAGACTAAAGGCAACTCTGAGAGGAGATGCAGTGGGAGCAGTCCCGGGTAACGCTGGAGAACGATGCCAACACGGCGCTTCTGGCGGAGGCTCGGATCATGGCAGCGCATGTGAGCAAAGCGCCAGCTTCAGGCTTGGACTGGTGCTGCTGCTGGCAAGAAGCATGCCAGAGTCCCGGAGTCCTTGAAAGCAGGGTTTGACTAGCAAATAGAGTGAGAGTCCACAGATAGTGCTCCTCACGATCGGCACTGGCATTGGCGGCGCCATCATGTGCCACGTGGATCTCTCGGCATAGTTCTGATGGTTCCTGCGAGAGGTGCGATGGACAGCTGCTTCGGGGCAGCAAGGGCCAAGCCGGTGAGATAGGCCTTTCAAGCATGAGGAATTTGCTTTCAAGCAAGTCAAACACTGCATTGGGTCACAGCCTCAGGCCACATTATTATGGTGCCCGATGGCCTCTGCTTTGGGCAGTCTGGGGTGCCCGCAGCCTAGTGGATAGGACATTTTCGGACTTTCAGACTACTTCCTTCTCTCCTCTCCTCTTTTTGTTCGGAGGCAAGGCATCTTCGAGGACTATGCGTCCGCCCGAGCAGTGGCCGCCGGCCCAATATCCAGACGAATCCATGCTGTGTCAGTAGGCTTTCCAAGAAATACGAGCAAGGGCGATGCCGCCCAGCATGTTCTTTCCTTACGCCGGGTTTTGGTGGCCAATACAGATGCTGAGCGAGTAACGCATTGTGAAGCCCACGCTGAACATCCAGAGATGTCTTGAGTTGTGCAGGAGTCTGAAGCACTGAGGCCTTGCGAGCCAAGCAAAGTATTCCGCCCAGCTCGTCCCTCTCCAAGCTTGAGGCAGCTTTGCGTCGGACGTCTTGTTGCCCAATGCCTGCTGCACTTGCAGCCCTTACAGGCGGTGGAGTGCGTGGACGTGTTCAAGCATGCTGCAGCCGGTGACAGCTATGCAGCGGGGCTTGTCAAAGAGACGGCCAAGTGCCCTCACAGAAAAACTGGCAGTACTGGAAGCCAAGAATGAATTCCAGCTGCCAGGTATCTGGCAGTTGGCTGCATCAACTGCTGCCGCTTTGTGGATCCTGAGATCATTCTTTTCTCTGGGGGCATGAGCGAGGCTCAAACATGAAGCCTGCGGAATCAGATTCCCGAGTCCCAAACCCGTAGCCGTCCAGGCAGGGGAGTCCTTGCTGCAGGAGATCCAGAGGTGCCACGCACCTCTGCCATGCCATGCCACGCACCATTTCGGCACTGTCCGATGGGTCCTTGCTCGAGCAAGTTCGGCGGACATGAGCCAAGCTTCAGCTCAAGCACAGCTTATAGCGAGCAGGCGTAGCGAGCAATCTGTAGCAAGCTCGGCATTTCTCTTTGCGACCCGAGCGCAATGAGGTGCGCCATGGATTTATCAGGGCAACATGTTCGATCGAGCGCGCCTTGCAAGGAGAGTGCGACGAGAGCGGCTCGTTCTCCCTGCGGCCTAGCTTGGTGTTGGGCGCCAGAAGAGGTCCGAAGGTCTGAATCTAATCCAAGGCCTCGCTGCTGATGGCCTGTGCCGTGGACTGGCGCAAGGTTGGAGGTGGGGGAGCGACGGATGGCCTGCCCAGTCGCGCGGCCGCTGCCTGAGACGACGCACTTGCCAGATCTTGCATCATTCCATTCTGAGGCTGTGCCAGGTGTGCAAGGAGCAGGCCGACGAAGCAAAAAATGCCCTATGGGAGACGTGTGTCAGTGTGCGCCAGGTCCCGGTGTTGCCGCGGTTGCTGCAGCTGGTGCCGTTGCTGTAGGAGCGCGAGGCCTGAGGCATGCGCAGCTTGGGGATGCAATGACGAGAATGAGGTGCCCGAGCGTCGGAGACGAAACCGGCTTCTTCCGGCGCGCCTTGCCGGCATTTTTTGGCTTGGCAGGGAGTGGCAAAATACCGAATGAACTGAATGAATCATTATGTTCAATCAAACAGAAGAATGGCTTTCGTTTGAGGAGGCCAGCTCCTTGACCACTTCTGTGTCCGGCTCTCAGCGGCTTTGCACAAGGTGCGACGGTTGTGGCATCGCAGCGAAGCCTGCACTGTCGAATGTCCGCAACGCTTTGCAACGCTTCGCAATGCTTTGCAATTCTTCAAGTTCAAGGTTGAACTTGGCCAAGAACATCATCGGTGCGGGCATGCTTTCTTTGCCCGTGGCCCGAAGCTCAGTTTGCGACCTCTCGACGCGCAAAGACCGCCCAGAACCGAGACCGCCAGACTGCCCATCCGAGCTTGAGAGCTTCCGAGCTTCCAAGCTTCCAGAGGCGTTGAAGGGGGCTGGCCTGGCGCCGTACCTGCTGGGGATCGCAGTCTTCGGCGCGGTGAACGTGTGGGACCTCGATTGCGGCAACTTATTGGGACTTGGCCCAGCCGGTCGCTGGAGGCCTACTCCTTCTTCCTGCTGGGCTGGGCCTGCGAGGCTCGGGGCTCCGGCCGCAAGATCGAAAGCTGGGAGTGCGCGCGGTCGCTTGTTTTCTAAGTGCCTTTTGATGGGTCAGACATAGCGCTCGCAGAAGCTTCTTTTTTTTTCTCAAGCAGCTTGAAATCCTTCAGTAGCTGGACTCAACCTTGCCATCGCAAGATGCCAGCACGCAAGACATCTTGCGTCATCGGATTTTGGACTACACTCTTCTCCTCCCATGTTGTCTTCCCTGCAACGTAGCTGCCAGATTCAGCTGATGACAGCTTGACAAAGCGATGCGGACATGATCATTGTCCTGCAGAACGCCTTGGCATCGGCAGGCTCAAGCCTCACGTCTTCAAGATCAATCCTCCCCGTACCATCAGGATCAAACATTTGCGAAACGCCTGCCGAATGTGGGTAGTGCCGGCCGTTTGATCTCCCTGGGTGGTGGCAGTACTTGTTTTCAGCAGGGTCAGGACACATCACTTGCCCCTGTGAGCAACTAGCCACACCCTCTATGATCAGCTTCATGGCGTCCCCTTTGTCCGCCCCCTTTATCCGCCTGGTTTTGGAGCTAGGCCAGCTCTGGTGTTCAGTTCAGCATATACACCTGAAGACCTGAACACAGCCGATCGCTGCGTCACAGCCCTTCCTGAACTGGGTTCTGCAGGGACTGCCGACCGCGGATTCGCCGAGTGCACCTAAACCGGCTGCCCCGTATGGTAATACGGCGTACCGGTTGGAGTTGGCAAAACTATCTGAAGGATCCATTTCTCTATTGCTTTCACATTGCTTTCAGGCTTTTTTCAGGTTCTTTCTGCTGAGGTCTCGGGTGCCAAATCCTTTGGGGAGCTCTGGGCCAAGAGCCTGGGAGGCAACGCCTGGGTGGCCGACGTGTCAGGCGGGCTGACTCTTTGGATTTTGGACTCTTTGGACTCTTCTTTTTTGTCGGCAGTCCTGCTGAACAATGGCATGGCATGCCTGGCGTGGCTCGGCCGCAGAAGGAGAGGGCTGACCTCAGACTTGACGGCTCCAGGTATTGCGTCCTCATGGGCGATTTCTTTTCCAAGGCCCTGTCATATTATCAATGTCTTTCCACGCTTCATTGTTCGCAATGATGCTCATGTCTTTCTGAGGCCCTGGCTGGCCTGCTGCCAGATGTGCTGTGGCCGAGGGCCTAGGTTGCTGGCCTTCACGTGCCCCACTTTGGGTGGGTCAGGCTGCATCAGCGCAGCGTGGATCTGGTGATCGTGGGCGCGTGCCTGTTGGCGCAGGGCTTGGCCGAGTCATGCGCAAAAGCTCAACAAGGGCTGCCGAGGTGCCCCTGTCCTTGATGAAGGACTTGGCACCGCTGCGCTATGCGTCCCTCGCCGGCCTTGCGGCTACGGCCTACGTCTTTTTCATGCTCGAGAGCGACTCCTTCTCGGCCAATTGGACGGTCTCTGGGCCCGTGATGAATAACTTGACGCCTCTCCGAAGCTCGGAGAATCAGGATGCGCATGTCGACTCGTGCGATCTCGCGAGTCTCGCCGAGGAGTCGACTTCTTCGAGGTTGCTTGGCTCGATCACCGCGAGGCTTCAACCGGTGCACTGGCCTTGGCTGTCTGAGGCTTTGGCACTCTTCAGCTCAGCCTTCATGGCGGGGTTGTGTGGGACGATTGACACAAGGGGGTTTCTCCAAATGAGGGACCAAAATGGTAGGCTTCTGTCTGGTTTTCCCTTTAACAGCAGCCAAGAAGGGCTTCCCCGAAGAGACAGGCCCATATTGGCAATGTCGAGATCTAAAGATCTCAGACGGAGGCTCACTACAATGCGCCCAAGTTCTACTCCCAGCTGCAGGCTGGAGAATCGGTCGGGAATCACAATGGCGGCATTTTGCGATTCCGAGGACCGATCAGTGCCTCGCTTCGGCCTGCTGGTTTCCCTGGCCTTCGGGTTGGCATTGCTGGTCTTCATGGCCAGGGCTACAGAGTGAAAAATTGAGTCGAGAGCAAAGAAAAGAGTCGAAGGTCAGGTATGTGAGAAAGCTTAAGGCTTAGGCATCTACCTTTGAGATCCTCGCTTTCTCAGGCCTTTGGAGTTTGTGGCTTCGCCCTGTTCGGCTTTGATGTGGACTGCGCATGGGATGCTGAGACGTTGCTTGCGCACTTGCAAGAATCGATATGCGTTTGATAGGAGGGCAACGTGCTGAAGAATTATGACTTCAGCCCCAAGGAGGGATGCCTGAGAGTCGAGTCGACTTCAGCAAGTGCGGGCTTGCTCGGGCTCGAGGTGATGCTGGCGTGGCTCAGCATGGGCTTCTCAGTGGCCTTCACCTACCCCCTGGTCTTCAGTACCTTCCGCGACTCCTTCACAGCGCCGGGCGCAAATAGTTTTGCATCAATGCAATTCATGAAATGCCACGAACAGGATCAAGCTTTAAGTGAGAGTCGTTGAGGCTCACTGGCTCCTCGGATGGCTTTCGCGTGTGGCAGCCTCTGTAACGCTTTGTTTTGCACGAGTGTAACTATTTCCGTGCCAGTGGCTTCAAATACAAGACTTGGCTTATCTCGGAGCTGAATTGATACATTCCAATCCGTCACGCCTCGCCCGGCAGTGTCTTCACCATTGCCGCGGTGTTTGCCACTGTGATCGGCGGCAGCATCTTCAGCAATGTTGCGAAGGTGAACGGAGTGAAAGGTGCCAAAGTTGCAGCAAAGCGCCCATAGCGCCCATGCTTTGCTCGTATTCTGGAGACTTGCACAGGTGCAATCCTGAGCCCCTGTTTGGCCTTCGTTTTCCCAGCTTTGATCCACCTGAAGCTGGGAGCCCCATGAATGGAGAGACTAGAGCGAGGCAACACTTGAGGCGCATATCACACCATTAGTTGCATCAAGCTGGCTCAGGTTGACCAAGCCCAGCAACAGGCTCCGAGTGTCGCAAAGCGTCAGCTGTTCAGCCGACCTTGAATCATGGAAGGTCCCAGATGTTGATGCGAAGCATCAGCAAATGCGGCAGCCTTAGAGTGCCACATCATTTCTCTTCCTTAGCAGAGCAGCAGAGCAGCAGAGCAGCAGAGCAGCAGAGCTACGACGTTCGTGACATTCTGGCTCGTAGTGTCACCCGCGCCCGCCCCCTCTCCGTTAGAGGCAGGGCACGGTACACCCCAGGCCCCAGGGCCCCAGGGCCCCAGGGCCCCAGGGCCCCAGGGCCCCAGGGCCCCAGGCCCGAGCAGGTCATGAGCAAAGCCGGCAAGGGACCTGGACCGCCACCTCCAGGAGGGATCGAGTTGAAATTAAACAATTAGTTTCTGCATGCATCGTGAGTGCGAGAAAAAAAGCCATGATCTGGGATGGCAAAGGCTCCGGCTCCAAAGGCTCGAAGGCAAAGCCCAGCCGCTCGGCTATTGATCGGCTTGGCCCGGGCCCTTGGCGCTTTGGCGCTTTGGCGCTTTGGCTGGGCAGGCAGTGAGCCCAGTGAGCCCATTCGGGTGACAGCCATCCTGATGGATGGCCAGGAAGTGCAAGTGCCAACTGAGCCGCTCGGCATCCACCGCGTCCACTTGATGCACCGTCCGGCTTGATGGCCCGTCCGGACTCCAAGGCTTGATGCGCGAGTGGAGACCATTCGCATCTCTGTCGCCAACCAGCTGGGCATCAGCTCTCACCGAATTAAACTCGCTGCTGGTGCAGACGCCACTTGCTGAGACAGGCTCCAAACTCTTCCTGTTGCGCTTTTGCTGCATGCGTCCCTGATGGCGCGGCACTGCCACCCAGGCTTTGAACAACGAAAGAACACTCAGGCGGGGTCGACTAGGCAGGTCCGGGGCAAAGGCAACGTCTCCGTCGGGCGAGCCTTTTTGCAACTTGCAAAGAGCAAAGACATCATGGAACAAACACTTCATGCTTAGTGGGTTTGGACAGGGGCGAAGGTGCATTCGTGCCGAGGGAGTGCGGTCTGGAAGCGGATGCCGTGGTGTCAGTGATCGTGTTGCCGCCGCTCTACGGCGCGCTGGGGCGTGCGGGCATCGCTGCCCCCGGGGAGGCGGGCGCGGATCAGTCGGGAATCCTTTTGGCTTTTCCAAGACGCGGATCGTGGAACGAATCGTGGAACTTGCAGGTCATGGCAGCGAAGATGGAGCTCCACGATGCTCTGGCGCAAGCTGGAAAGCTGACGCCCATTCACAGCTGACACACACCAGAAGTCTTCTTCCCTGCACAAGTCACTGGCCCCTCTGCGATTTCGGTGCAGCCACTCGTGACAAGACCGTTTATTGCGGGCCAAGCGTCATGCAAAGTGATGACCCGTTCGATAGCCGGCAGGTCTGTACAGCTGTAAATGCGTTTGCGCCACTGAAGAGCGGGGGGAAGAAACAGCGATGCCAAGACTTTCATGTATCCCACCCTCTTGCACTCCCACGCAGCTGCTGGCTGTCTCGTGAGTCTCGTGATGCGCCGAGTCGGCTTGCTATGGCGCAGTCGCAAGCTCCCCCGCGGCTTGGCGAGCGGACGGGGCCAGGTCGGAGCCTTCCTTTCGCCGGGCTCCGCATGCGCAGCCATCGACTCGCTGGGGCGTAGCCATGACTGGCAAGGGGCGCTCGAGTTCTTGACGATGCCTGCGCTGCTTGGGCTGCAAGCGGGACATGAATACGTGCCTTGCTTTAATGCAGCCGCCAGTGCTTGCGAGCGGAGTTCCCAATGGGAGTTGAGCCTGCTGGTGCTGGGCTCGGTCACAGCCACCACCGTGACTCGCAACATCACCATCGCGGCCTGGGCGCGTGGCAGCCACTGGATGCGGAGTTTGGCCTCCCTTCGCGCGACGCCAGAGAAGGACATCGTGAGCTTCAACGTGAGTCTGCGAGCCTTGGAGCGCAGCAGCAAGTGGCAGCACTCCCTAGCCTTGTTTCAGGAGATGACAGAAAACGACAGCCCAGGCTGGGACGCCCGGAGTGTGGGGGCGGTCATTGCTGCTTGTGCAAAGGGCGGGGACTGGCAGCGTGGACTTCAGCTGTTGCAGCTATGCCCTGGCGACCTCCACTGCCACACGGCGCTACTCAGTGCCTTCCGGCGCAGCGGGGCTTGGCAGCAGGGCCTGCAGCACTTGCGGCGCCTGCGGCACTTGCAGCTGTCGCTGGATCCTGTGGCCTTTGACACGGCGCTGAGCCTCTGTGAAGCTGAAGGTGCCTGGCAGCATGCTTGGGACCTGTTGGATGACATGCGCCAGCAGTCGCTGCAGCCGAGCGTGGCAGGGCTGTGCAGTGCGGCGAAGGCTTTGCGTGGACGGCGTGACGTGCTCGGAGAGATCGAGGGTCGAGTTTTCGCTCTGCTGGAAGCCGACTCCCAAACCACAGCTTGGGGCGTTCACCTCGTGCGGGCGCTGGACGCGCTGCATGAGGCCGGTCGGCTCAGCGACTCCGTGAGCGCAGCCTTCCAGCCGGTGCTGGATCGTACAGTGGCAGCGCTGCGCCAGGCAGCTCAGGGAAATGCGTCGGGTCACCGGGGCCACGCAATCCAGAGCTTGGGGCTGCACGGACTGGGGCCGTTCACGGAGCGAGCGCTGAAGGAGCTCGGGCTTGCGGGGCGAGAGGGGCCAGAGGCAGAGATGGAGTGGGTGCCGACAGCAAGGGCCGCTGTGGCTTCGGCTCTGTCGGTGCCCTCTCGGGCCTCAGCTCGGAACCTGCTCAGCTGGTTTGCCTACGCAGTCGACCCCAAGATGCCAGGGCTCGAGGGGCCAGAGGTGGACGAGTGTGAGAGCAAGTCAAGGTCAAGCCTTCTCTGGAGCAGAGGTGAGATAGTCGCCCACGGCCTTTCGCAGCCTGTCTGGCCACACGCACTGCAGCCCATCTTCTCGCGCCATGACAGGTCGCAGCACTCTGAGAGGAGAGCCTTGCTGACAGTTCTACGGCGGCTTCATTGCGGAGGAGCAGGCAAACATGCCACCGGCAGTGTCCGGCTTTTTACTTGTCACACTCCGTGCATCTCCTGCTTGTTTGTCTTTGTCCAGTTCCAAGCCATGTTCCCACAAATCAGGCTGTCTGTGGCATTTGATTCATGGACCGAGACCAAAGCGTCTCTTGGATCAGCGCAGCAAAAATGCATCAGGGGACAGGGACAGCCCAATTGAAGCCGAACGCTCCCAGCGGCCTCGCCATGTCCCAGGTCTGGTGGTTCTGGGCTTAGCTTCCGGGCTGCTGGCGCTGACGGTCATGTTCCTTCTCCCAAAGACGGACTTTTCAGAGCTGGCGCTGCGCTTTCCAGCCTGAGCCTGCGGAGAAAAGGTCGGAGCATCCCTGCGTTTTCGGAGCATCCATCGTTTGAGCTGTGCACTGTTCGAGTTGTTTGGAGGCAATTCGAGAAGTACCACTGGAATCTCGAGCCTGTGCGAGTGAGGCCTGAGCGTGCAGGAAATATGCGCGGAACACGCTGACCTCGCCGCTAAGGCTGGAATTAGCATCGACTGGCCGCCACGCCGGACTGATTGGCCGCTCCCTTGAGCCGAGGGCTTTTTTGAGAGCCTCCGACCTGACCCAGGCGCAGCAAGAGCCTCCATGATCTGAGTGGAGTCTGGGCTCTTGCAAGGCTCCTTGCTATCCGTAGTTGCCAGAAGGCGCGCCTCCAGTGGCAACATTGGAGCTAGCGTCACTGTCTGGAGGGTCTGCAGGGCCAGGTCGGGGCCATGTTGGGTTGTCATGCGGGAAGCCCTGGCCGTGTCATGCCATGCATGCCCGTGCTTGACTTGCATGTTCAGCCATCCCTGTTCAAAGTTGCCCCGGCAACGCATTCCCTTGAGCCACGGGGCAATGGAAACGCCATGGGCGTGAAGCCGAAGCTTTTGGCAGGGGGCTCGGCTCACGGTCTGCGTCGTGGCACCTTCTGATCGTATGGGAAACCCGAATTGGAGGGCAACTCCGCAAGGATTTTGCCTTGCACCTGACCAAGGTACTGGCCTGATCCCTCGAAAGAGCAGAAAGCGGTGCGTGCCAGCAGCTCTTGCAGGAGCCAGTTTCAAACACAGCCCCCAACCCAAAATATCGTAGTCACAGTTATGGAGCAATTGTTCCTGCCCAAAAGCGCAACCCCCCAGTTCACACATCGCAATGGTGTTGCTCCCAAGGTGTACTTTGCGTCCTGCACTCGTACTCAAAAGTTGCAACTTTTCAGCTGGAGCTGCCAAATTCTTATTTGTGCAATGCCCTTGCGCTGAGAGTTGCAACTTTCGCCCTTGTCAGCAGGATGCTAAACATGCTGAAGGTAAAACTGCTGCTTTATCTCCAGCATGTTTTGTATCCCACTGCCGAGGGGTATCCAGGCAGACCCTGGTGAGTTGCGAACACTGCATTCCATGAAAGCCCTTTTTATTCACTTCACGGACAGACATTTGGGCGTCAACGTTTTTGTCGGGTCGGCTGGGATGAACTTGGTTGTGGCAACTTCACAAGAGACTGCCACTGGTGCAGGAGGCAAAGAAAGCCATGGCTGGCAGGCAGAGACAGCAGAGAGGGAAGGCCATACTGCGGGGCACGCACGCAGATGATGCAGAGCTGCTCTTCTGTCAATATGATCCGACGTCTTCCGGATCTTTCGATGGCTTCAAGAACGCGTGAACGCAGGATTCCAGGCTTGCCATGAGATGCGTGTTCCCGCCTGGTGTGTTGGATTCAGTCATGAGTCACACATGCCGCTTTCCAGGTTTTTGAAGGTGGCAGCTGGCTTGCAGGCTCGAAGGGCATGGCACTTCAAAGCTGTCACTGACCCTCGAGCTATTGAGCAGACTTGCGCTAGTTTGGATCTGCCGTCAGGTCACCGCTAGAGCAGCTGCTCCAGGGCCACTTTGCCAAGGACGGAGTTTCAGAGCGCGTGACGTGTGCAAACTTGCCCAGTGCTGCATTTGCTCGCCAAATTTTCAACGCCTCCGGCTCAGGCCGGCCTGCTTCCTTAAATATGAGCCTCATATGCGTCCCTTTGGAATTGTCCCATGGGAAGTTTCCCTTGAGCATTTCCCGTTGGGTTTGTACAAGCCCTTGGGATGTTAAGACTTTAAGCCATTGTTACGCCACTCAGACTACGCCACTCAGATTCGGAGATTTTACTCCAAAAGGTTCTAAGGATTGAAGCCAGTAAGAGTTCAATATTGCAAGCTATTACTATTTTGAGACCTTAAGCCATTAGAATGTTAACACGTTAAGCCACACATATTCTAGGAGTGTAAGCCATTCGGAGTTTCAGAGTTCAACCCATTCGAGATGTTAAGCCACTACAGTTCCAAGATGTGATGCCCTTAAGGTTGAAATATTTGAAGCCTTTGAGATGTTAAGGCTGTACATCATGACGATTGTAGCACGTTGAGCCACTAAGATTCTAAGGATTGAAGCCATGAAGATTTGAAGGTTGTAAGCCAAAATATTTCAAGATTGTACGCCATTCATATTTTCAGAGTGTATTCCAGTAGTGTTGTTTTAGATTGCAGCCTCTAATATTTTTTCAGATTTAAACCATTCAGATTTTATCCCGATACGCTACTAAGAATCTACGGTTTTCAGCCATTCCAATTTTTAGATTTTGAGCCAGGAAAATATTAGGCCATTAAGATTCTAACATTCAACGCCAGTAGAATTTGAGCCATTAAGATGTTCAGATATTCACGCGTTAAGCCATTCATATTTTCAGATTTTAAGCCCTTCAGCTTCAGATTTTGAGCCATTACAGGTTTAAGGTTTTCATTTGACCCCCTTGCCGCTTTTGTCGAACATGTCATCCAGACCATGCCAGTGGCGATGTTGTGGAGCTGCTGAAAGCGGACCCGGGAGAAATCGAACACCTCAAGGTCTTTATGCAACATGCGGACACCCACTATGGCACGTGGCCCCCTGTTTCTGGTTTGCTTGATGCTCAAGCCTGGTTTTGGTCGCATTTCCCAAGTGCGAGGAAAATATTTGCTGCCTTCTCACATACCTGGTTGTATACCATTTCACATTAATTCTTCATCGGAATAGATCCATTTGCTGGACCTGCGAGGTATGCATGTACGGGCGCCGCTTTGGCCCCCACATGTCCAACCTCAAGTTTTCCGAAAGAAGAATGTCAAGTGAAGAGGCTTTCTATGGGGCAGATAGATCCGCCAGGGCCGCCATCAACTTACGGAAGGTTTCGGTATGAAGATCTGGTCAGGGATTGGGTTCACAGTCAGGGATGGGTTCACAATCATTGAGCGGCAGAGGCAAGATCCGTTATTGGAGAACCGGCTCATAGACGATGCCCTCATGTACCGCGAGCTATTGGACAATGGACTTTGTTGCTCCAGACGTTGGAATAGACTATTTTCTTACATTCCTACGCGGCTACTCATTAAAAGGCGCAGCAGAAGGTATTCCTTCAATGCATTCCTTTGATAGATTTCAGTTTCTTCAACCACCCAAAAGGGCAAATTTGAGGTCCTTCTTGGAAGACTACAAGTAGCCTGGGAAGACAGCAGCAGAATGCACACGAACAGGCCCTGAATATGTTCACGCTATCAACGACGAGAATCAGAGAACGCGTTACCAACACATTGAGAAGGTGAATGAATTGGCAACCCTAATCCAGGGAGTGCCGCCGCAAGGAGCCGCAATTCCCATAGTGCCCGATCCAGTCATCCTGAACTCGATAGAACTAGTGAACTATGACCAGTTCATCTCAGGAAGAAGACAATCTACATCGTACAGTTATCCGAACGCCAACGAGAACACCTGGTATCTTCACCGTCACTGAGTGATATCCAGCTTCCTCAAGGCCCAGTGCGATGACCTTTTCATCCACACCAGACCAACTTCATCCGTCCAACGGGAGGAAGCCGATCCAAGATTCATTAAGGCAATAGAACCAGACCCTGACCGGATGAAGTACGAGTACATCCCGTGCAAGACCAGGTTCACATTTGCCAACGGTCAAACCTTGGACTCTCCGACTGTTCTTTAACTCCCCGCCGCCTATATTCATCTTTCAATTTGCACTTCGGACATTCCCCCAGGCTTCAAACTTCATGTAGGCCATGCAATTTGGTATTGGGAAGAACTTTCCATAATTGTGGTTTTCAACGGACGCTGTAACAGTGGTTCAGGGGGGTTGTAGGGGGGAGCGCCTGCCTGACTGACTTCTCCGTGTTCACACGCATAACTTACGCACTTCCCAACTAAGCCTTGAGGTGTCCAAATCCCATCGCGCCTTCCAGTTTGGCGTTTGAGTGCCAACTATTCGGGCTTTAGAATCCACGCAGGCCAGCAAGTTTGTCAATTCTTGGTTTCAACTAGGGCCTCCAGGTCAAAACTGGAGCCTTTGAATTTAAAACACATATTTGGATGTAGATGTTTTTGATTTTGGCTGACTGTGTGGCTTTTGTTTTTCAATTTGAAAAGTGTTTACATTTTCTATTTCCCCACATAGCTGTGCGGGGTTCTAGACTCTACCAAGCTGCACGCGCACTGCAACGAGACCACAATCCCCCTGTTGTGAGCTCTATGATGTGTGTGCTTGCGCGAGTAGTGCTGCCCACGAGTCGTGAGATGAGACATGAGAAAAGGTTCGCAGCTTACTCCAGCCTGTTGGATTTGTTGCCTTTGCCTCCCTATTGCGAATAGTTTGAACTGATTTTACGACATTGACGTCGTCTGTTTTTCCTAAGGACACCCATGGTGCGCACTGGTTGTTATCCACTCCATGTCATGCCCCCAAACTGTTCCCATGTATTCAAAACCAGCGTTCAGGAAAGGTGCGCTTTTTGCGCCAATTGAATGATGTGGAAGGGAATTCCAGGTACTACGTAACTACCTTGTGCTTGTGTGCAATCAAGTCTGCCCACTTGCTGGGTAGCGCAGCCAAAGCAAGGGCTGCAAAGCAACCTGTAAAATGGAGACAGGCGAAGAAACTGCGCGAAAAGGGTCGATGCCTTGGCGGATCTTGGCGGAGACAGCCGCGTGTCGAAGGCCGACCATCAGCTAGACTTAATTGTTCCTAGCTGCCCGTCTTGCCCGTCGTGTGAATGCCGAAGCTCAGCGCACAATCCGATGTGCCAATGGTTTCCAATCTGATGTTTGCCGGACCATTTCTTGCAACCTTGGGCTCGTTGCCACTTCAGGACAGCTCACGCAAGGTGAAATCGCGCGCTTCACATTTCTTGGTCCCAAACTCACCAGCTCGACATTGGAACACTCAGAAACTTGGCATCATTCTAACCAGTGTCTTTTTTGTATTAGTGGATTCCATGAGAGAAGCAGGAGGCGATGCTGAAAGACATGACCTCCTTCGAGACTTTGGGCGGACAGGCACCATGTCAAGCGAGTTTTGCTCCACACTTGCTCTGGGCCAGTTGGAATGTCAGTATGGCCCGGTCATGTCTTTGCTCGATGTTTCAAGCGAGGCAGAAATCTCAGAAAGCTGGCAGCTGGATGCTGCGCGACTTGCCGAATTTCACGATGCAGCCTTTTTGCCTGTCGCCTGTGAAAGTGCCGTGGTTTCATATCCAACCGTGGAGGCCTCCCAGTCAGCCTGCGCTTGTGGCTGAGGGCAGGGATGGCAAGGAGAAGGACTAACCTATTGCGTGTCTCAGCATCTCATGTTTGCTATTTGGACCTTTTGCTGAATTTCGCAAAGCGCGAAGTGAGGATCGGCCCGATCCTGCCAAAAGAACGAACCTATGCATCTTGTATCAGCGGATCTCAGTGGTAGAGCTTTCCTTGGCACCATGTTGGACTGGTTCTTGGGGTTGGCAGCTCTGGGCAGCAGCAGCCTTTTTAGTTTCACAATGATCCCTGGTCCCTGTTTCCGTCTCTTTGTCTCTCTATCTCTCTTGAAGACAGCATGCTCCGCAGGTTATGACTTTCTGCGCCCAACAAACTGCACTGGATGGCCAGGGTAAATCCGCGATAATATGATGGCCTTGCATGTCTGTGCTCCGCGCATATCTGATATGTTTCAGAGCAGAAACTCCAACAACGCCAAGACCCTCCCCACATTCGGTTGATCTGACAGATCTTGAATCTTCACACACACACACTCACACACGGATCTTGAGTTTTGCTACACGTCTCAGCGGGCTGGGTACCGCCTTGGAGCCCGCCTCAGGCAAGCCTTAACCTCCCTCGCCCGTTCGGCGCGAATCCGGCAGCTCCAAGGGACGCATCCTTCAAAGACATGGCACGTAGGTTGGGAGCCTCCGCGAGGCTAAGTCCTTTGGCCCCCGCGTGTCTGTCCTGCTCATCACGGTTTTGCTCACACTCACACACACTCACACTGACACACACACACACACACACACACACTCTCGCTCACTCACTCACTCACTCACTCACTCACTCACTCACTCACTCAGTCAGTCAGTCAGTCAGTCAGTCAGTCAGTCAGTCAAGTCGCTCAGTCGCTCAGTCACTTCATCTACCCACTGAATCCACCCGCCCGCCCGCCCACCCACTCACCCATCCACTCACCCACACCCACAGCCACACCCACACTCACACCCACCCACCCACTCACCCATCCACTCACCCACACCCACCCACCCACACCCACCCACACCCACCCACATCCACCCACACCCACCCACACCCACCCACACCCACCCAGCCCGCTTCCTCGCCCGTTCGCCCCACTTACCGGTTTGTGTGGTTTTCACATTGCTTGTGCAATCTGACATGTTCTGGGACAATAGGCTGCTGATACCCAATGAAACAAATAGGCTCCTTTTTTGGATCGCAAAGCGCTTGGTTGTACTATGTTTTAAATCTGGGGATGGCCTCTGGTTTAGAAAGTCCCCTGTCTTCCGCTTGCTTCTCGCGGGCCATGCGTTTCATCGCATCAGCAGGCGAAAGTGTTCTCGGATCGCCTGTGACCCTTGCTACCTCAGATGAATATTTGTTTCGAGCAGAATAATCCAATAGCAGAACTTGCGTGAATGCTGCAGATCCGCTGACATTTGAGGCTGAAGCTGCTCCTTTAGGGTATTTCTTTGGATCCTTGCCTCTAGCCATGTCTTATATAATGCAGCTGTTTCTCGCCCTGTTCCTTCCCAGCTTGTCCTTCAAGCTTGGATCACGAGCGGGTGAAGATGACATTTCAAGGCACCTGGCAGCGATGGATGCCACGGATGCAGCCAGAGTGTGGGCTCAGAGCAAACACACGGCTCTGCTTGACCTTTAAAACCGGCCGAAGCTGGCGGCAAATGCCTCGGGTGCGGCAACGGTTGCGGGTCTGGAGTCCAGCACAGAGCTTGCCCGAGTGGGCCGCATGAACCGCATGAACCAGAGCATGCCAACGGTGACGTACAACAAAGTGGGCTCCGGTGATTGGAACAAAGTCGGCCGCAAAGGCGCAGTGAAGGGGGCAGCGGCCGCGGCGGTGGGCAGCTCCTTGGCCATGATCGCCACAGCCGCCATCAACGGCGATCTGAGCATGGACGCTATGCTAAACCTTTGCCTTTGACGTTTCCGTTCTTTTTCTTTCTTTCTTTTTCTGTTGAAATCTTGGCAGACTTGCCTGAGGCAACGGTGGCAAAGGCAGGGAAGGGCCTGGCCAAGGCAGGCTTGGCGATCGCAGGCACGGTGATGATGGGCATGGGCCCCTTGGGCGTCGCGGGCATGTTCGCCACTAGCTTCTTGTCGGGGGTCCTCTTCCCGGAGCCAAGCTTGGATGAGAAATTGCAGCAGCTGAAGGAGGACGCAAACTGCGAACGCGACAGCGCTTCTTGACAACGGCGCAAGTCTTAAGCCTTGGCATTTTTTTAAATTTTTACAAATAAGCTTATGCGCAAAGCTTTGCCGTGTGAAGCGCACGAGGATGCTAACATGAACACATGGACGTATGACACAGCGGACGAGTTCCGCCATACTCGCACGGCAGATGCAGCGCGGAGCATGGTCAGGTCTGGGTTCAAAAGGGCCGAGCGAGATCGTTGCTCGTTCTGACCGGACGGGTTTCTGTGAACCGGCACAGGCAGTTGTCGATCTGCGCCAAAACAGGTCGGCTCAAGCTGAGCACGACCCCCTGCAAGGGCATGTGCGCCTTAAATCTGGAGCAGTTCAGTCCAGAGGCAAACTGACACTGGAGGCCGAAGTGGCTGTCCAGCGCCCTAACCAGCCCACGCAGAAAACGAATTCGGGCCGCCGCCGTGAGCTGACCTATGCGGGCTGGCGGGAGCGAAGAGGCATCTCCCCAACACTCGCCAAGCTTGGAGACAACCGGGACCGGGTGCTCCTTGAAAGCAAAATGCACACATGCAGCAAGCTCCAGCCAAGAAAGCTGTACACTCTCAGCGGCCAAGGAAGAGGCTTGTTGCTGGAGCCAGGCAACAAAACTGGTTACAAACTTGCCGCCGAACCGCGATGCCCCCTCAGAAGCATTCCACGATGGGTGCCACCGAAGCGGAAGACCCTCAATCCAGCTCCCGCCATCCACATGCGGGCGAAGCTGAGGTGCGTCAGGGGCATCACCACCGGGATGTACCGGAAGCGCACCAGCATGAGGCGTGGAAGCTACCTCTAAATGCAAGTCGCGAAAGCGGTCCACGGCAGCAAAACTGTCAACTTGACGGGCACGAAACTGGCCCCAAATGTGCCAAAAACTGTCAGGCCGCATCTTGTGCGCCTGTCCAGCAGCGTCGTCGGCCCTCTGATTCCAGTAGGCCGTCCAGTGCTCGAGGTCAAAGATCTCGTTGGAGTGTTCACGATGTGCGGAGACGTGCTGGATCAGCACATTGTTCGAAGGCACCAGGGAAAGCACGTGGCGAAGAGCGTCCCAGAGATCACTGTTGGTGTCCGGCGTCTCAAAGTCTATGTCCTGGACCAGTGCAGCACACCCGCATGCTGCATAGGCACTATCAGACCAGACCGTGGTCTGAACATTGTGAAGATGCAACCATTCCACTGCGGCCAAAATGGCCCGAAGCTCGGCTCGACTTACGTCCTGCTGCAAGCCTCCCAAAGGGCTGGCGCACAGCTCACGGTTGTGCGAGGCTGAGATCACTGCCCAGGATGCATACGCGCAAGAAGGGGATGATGGGTGGGCGCAACTACCATCCGTGAAAAGGTCATGTCGGGTGACCAGGGCGAGGTTGAAGATGCCCAGGGGCAAGGTCACGTTGTTGGTGAAAGGCCCATCTCAGCCGCTGCTCAAAGGGGTTGGCCGATGGCAGCAAACGTTCGGTGAGGGCTCGTGGAAGTTGATCCCAATGTTGCACTGCCCAAGGGTGCCGAGCATGAATGGCCGCCAAGGCCGGGCGCCGGCAGCAGCGATGTTCCAGGGTGTCTTCCATGTGGCAGTATTGACAAAGTGTCTTGACCAGGTCGTGCTTGCCGTGCGAGGAGCCAGAAATGAAAGCACCTTCCCGCAGTGCGTTCACTCTCGCCACTTCAAGCGCAGACAGTCGGAGCTCTTTGTCGGATGGTGGCCGCGTGAGCCCATGTAGTCCGGCAAAATCGTGTCGGTGAGCGACTTCACGCGAGAGCCGCTGCGTCCATGCATCCAGGAGACTCCCGAATGTGCGGCCACGGATCTCGCAAAAGGCCCAATGGCAAGCCAATGTGGTCAACAAAAACAGGAGGCTCGACGATCTTCCAGAGGATGAGGTCGCATTGCTCAATCAGCTTGCTGCAAGGGCCTTCGAGCAAATGGCCCTGAAAGTGCTCAAGCCCAGGGTACGCACGGCTTTTGTACGAAGCTGCGCTATCTGCGTCCACGGCATCAGGGTGATGCCAATTGCAAGAAAAGCCTTGGCCCAGAAGGCCTGGATCAGGATGGCCACCTTCTGATGGGTAGATGCCCATGATCGGCGAAGTCGGGGCCACAGCGGCTCCAAGGACTCAATGCGAACCTTCTGGGACCCCAGGCCACGTCTAGCGCAATAGGTCATAGCTCCGCCAAGGTCGGCTTGTTGCAGTTCAAGTCGGTTGCCCAAAGAGCGCAGCTGCTGCCGGTCGGATGCAGTAGTGGCCCAAAAGTATGTCTTTGCTTCGTCCAACTGCATGCCCCAGCAGGAGAAAAACTCTTGCATAACGAGCCACCCCCCAACAGCGGAGCCCACATCGTTGCTGAAGAGCTCGAGGTTGTCCACATACAAACGTGGGATGGTCTTGGGGGCGAAGACGCTTTGGTAAATGTCCCAGATCCAGTCGATCACCGTCATGGCAACGACAGACAAACTGCAGCCCTCGGGCATGCCAGTGTTGGAGCTGATAAGATCGCCGATGTGGCCCTGCACGGAAAAGAAGCGCTCCGTGCCGTTGAGGTCACGCATCAAGAAGCCCGACTGGAAGCCCCAGATGATGAGCTGCTTGGAAGAAGGGTGCTCAAATGCTTTGACCAGATCGGTCATCCAACGAGCGGCTGGGTCTGCTGCAGGGCGCATTCAATCAGGGCCTGGGCCCAGTGCCAGAGGTCACCTGCTTCGCGGCCCGGGAGAAAACCACGGATGCCTTCCGGAAGGACAGTGCCAAGTTTTTTGATCACCGAACTAACCTGCAAGGAACTCCAGCTGCAATACATCACAAGGAAAATCACAATGGGCCGGTGCTGATTGACCGTGTGGGAGACAGCCGATTAGGCAAAAGCCCTTGAGCAGTTGCCGGGGCCATAGCCCCCCCGTCTCGATGTGATTGAGAAGTTGGACCATCTCCTCCTTGAACGGGTCGGGCATCATGAGAAGGTCAAGGTAGCCGCTCCGGCGGAGTACCGCGTGTTGGTCATGTTCCAGGCGTGCGTGGTGATGGCGGGGAAGTTGAAGTGGACCGGAGGTACATGAGCTCGCACAAGTGCTGGAAGTGCTTGAGGATCTGATCCGGTTGGGTAGCCACTTGTCAATGCTAGTCGGTGCCAGGAAGCAGCGCCGGGAAGTCGACGTACTCTTTGTAGAGTTGGACAGGTCGAAGACTCCACCAGGATGTAAAACTCGGCTCGAAACCTTTTGCATTTTTGATGCTGTTCCAGGTGAGAAAGCGGTATTCGACCGCTGCTGGAGACTCGCTGTTGCGTCGTACGTTGTGGAGAAGGCTCTGAAATCGACGAACTTGGGTGAACCACTTGTGGTGGATGCGTCCGAGAAAGTCAGAGGCCGGAACGACTTCCCCTTGCCGGCTGGGCCAAAGTTTCGGAGGTTGTGCTGGTCGTAGGGGCTGAAGGTGTTGGGCACGTGCAGCTGGAGCGAGACCACCGCCAGATGATGGCATGATGACTCCTTGGAGGCTATGCTCGAATGCACGGCCGAAGTGCGTGTAGTACTCGGTGAGGGAGTCGGTCCAGGAAGAGACAGATGGAACCACATGTGCTGTGTGCTGCCAAGTAGGATGTCGACCGCGGACCACGGGATCTTGGCAGGCATAGGCCAGCGTCGCTGTGCAGGAACGCTGAGAGGTACGTCAAACCACCCTGTGACAGAAGAGTGGTCCGCAAAGTCATCCTGCGCCTCTGCCTTGGAGAAGAATTGCCGAAGCTCCGGACTGACAAATTGTGCAGTGTCTGCACCTCGGACCACCCAAGAGCGATCCACTCCTCGATGGTGAGCTGGCGATCGAGCTCGCGAGTGGCTTCACGTGCACGTGGCCACGTAGGACCTGGCGACCACCCGTACAAAACCGCTCCGGTGATGTAGAAGGGACCGAGGTCGAAGAAGGAAACCTGCACCCGACCAAGGGCGAGTTCTCCACCCGGGAGATGCATGTGTGCACGATGGGCTGGCGCATCACTAAACTGAAAAACACCTGACCGCACCCCAGTGCTCAGGCTTCGAGCCCGCAGGGGAATGGGCTCCCCGGGGACCAACCAAAGTCGCCGATTGTCGCTGTCGGCGAACCGGCGAAGGGTCCGGCAGACTGCCTTGATCCCTGGCAGCTCCTTGGAGCGGATGCCGGTGGTTGGCGAAGGAGATGGCCAGGGGTGGCTCGGGATTGGCTTCGCCAATGGCTGTGAAAAAGGCCGGCGGAGTGCATGATGAAAGTCTCGCCAGTGCCCAATGGAGTATGCCAATACCTGCTGATGGTCCGACCCACAATCGCGGTCACAGAGTGCCGCGCTGACAGTGTAGAGCTGGGCAAAACCACCAAACAGGCAAACCAGCACCCCCACAGCTGGTACCGATGGGGCATGGCGCGATGAAGAGAACGATCAGCAAAAAGAGAATGTAGATCCAAGGTGCGAAAACCCACGGCGGCGGCCTCTTCCCCTTGGAGTAGGAAGAGCCGCAATGGGCTAGTCACGAAGCCCGGGATCGCTTCTCCAGAAGAAGCATTTTTGCCTTCTTGCAGGCCAACGACCTGTGACTCCGCAGGTGCTCGACATCCTTGCCCTGTTTCTCAATCTGGTGGTGCAGCATTTCAATTTGGTTGGACTGAGAGCATGTGGTGGCCTGTACCTGGAAGTACTGCTCAAAGCGCTGATTGTGGTGTCGAAGCTCGTCAACAGAGACCTCAAGTGCGGTCATGCGATTGTGGAGGCCAGTCGGGATTTCCTGGTCGTCGACCTCCATGGTCAAGTTGGTGGCACGGGCTTGGGATTCCACGTCCGCCTTCAAACGTGTCTCGAACTGTTGCAATCGGTCAGGGCCCTTGGGCTGGGACTGAAATCCGCCCCATGGATCGTGGATCAGCCAGGGGTCGGAAGAGGCAGAGGTTGTCAAAGAGGTGGCCCGTTGTGTTTGCCCTGTCTGAATGTGCCGGGTGGAGGTAGATGCCAGGATCGGTGCAGGTGTGGACCCCTGACTAGCCGGGCGAATCAAGGCGACCATCCCCGAAAGAGCCCTGCAACACCGTGGAGGGAGGGGGGTCAGCTGCACCTCCCATGCTAGCCCTCAGGGCCTCAACCAGCTGCATGGAGCACTCGCGCAGTCCATCCCCATGTGGCTAGCCAGCGCTGAAGGCCGCTTCGCTGTGTGCCATGCGGCAACGGATACAGCTTGAAGATCTTAGAGATCCGAGAGTTGACGAAGGTGTCGGATGGGCGCAAGGTTGAGTAGGCCTCCTCAAGATGCTCTTGCGCAAAGCGGGGTCCGTACTTGCTCATCATCCGGCAAGCACATACTGCGTGCTTCACGGTGGTGAGCTTGTGCTTGATGTCCTGGAGGGTGGCGTTCTGCATCCAGACCACTCCGTAGTTTTGGTCCGCAAGCTTGCCGCGTTGAGACCGTGGTTCAACATAGAGCCCGTTGATCCCGGAGGCAAGCTGGATTGACAACTGCGCGCTGCTGGGCACACGGATCATGGCGGAGAACTGAGTTGCCTCGATAGGTGCACAGAATTTCCCAGCAGCTGACAGCCACGACTCCACACGTCGAGGACCAAGACCTCGATAGACTCGTCAACCGGGGGATGGATTTTTTTGCATGTTGTTCCGCATCCTTCGGCCCGGCAAAGCTGCAGCACCGGAACCTGCTCCAGCAGGGCCCTGACTGGCCGATCATTGGTCCTGACACACAGTGAGGCGCAAGGCTTGTGTGGAAAGGTGGGCGAGGTCGTGCTTGGGACTGCTTGCGCATGATGGTGGCCTGAGCCAAGAGGACGAGGCTCCCCTGAATCAAGACGGGCTCGGCAGTGGCTTCATATTGCGCAGGGTATCTCAGGTCCGTCACAATCAGGGACCCGCGCAGTTCATCCGGGACAGGCGTAGGTGTCAGCACTGCTAAAGGAAGCTCGGAGAGAATCTTGCCGCCCTCGTTGATGGCGCCAAAAGCGATGCCCTCCTTACCAGGGGCAATGTCCGAGCAGGGGATCTGTGCGACCATATGGCCCTTGGCATCCACAAAGGAGTCCGGAATCAGGGTGAGGAGTACCGGGTTGATGCACAAGACAACCGCACGAGGCTTGTCCCTGGCCCGCCGCCGTTTGTCTGCTTGCTGCACCCCAAACTTGCTGTGCGCACGTTGCGTGATCTTGACCTGGAGCTCATCCGCCTTCAGCCATCGGAAGGAGGCGTGTGGTCGTGAGGCCAACGCCTTGAGAGCACTCCATGCTTGTGGTGAATGGACAGCCGTGATGAGGTCGGCGGAGAGCATGCGCTCCTCGACTTTGTCTTCCGGGAGCCCCCTTGCTGACGAGCAGCGGCCGGAGCATGTGGAAGAGCTGTTGTTCCTGCGCTGTGCCATCTGGGCCCCAACCAATCCATCCGGGTCCAGTGCCGTGGAAGGTAAGGGCAAGGTCGATATACTGCAAAACTTGGTGGAAGCACATGAGGTCATCACCGTCAAGGTGAGTGTGGGGATGTGCAGCGGAGATGAAGCGGGCGAAGGCAAGCGCACCACAACAGTCTGTTGTGGGCTGGGTGTGGCAAAGCCCTTCCAGAAGGCCAACTACATTGGAGAAGGCGTCCGGCTTGGGGCCTTGTATCGAGGCCAGCAAGGCCATTGTAGAGTGCCGCATAGACCATGTGCATGCGTGGACAGGACCAAGAAGGTCCAATGGTGGTTGCTGAGGAAGAAACAGTACATCGGCTTGGTGGTTGGGTGCAGGATGCCCTGGTTGGTGTCGATGTAGTAGTCCCCGTTCTTGCCCTCGAGGATGATGACGATGTAGGGGTTGAACGTCTGCTGGTGTTGAGAGATCCAGTAGTGGGCCAAACAGCTCAAGGCAACGCTGGACGTGCCCATGGCTCCAGTTGTGTCTGGCCCACACCCTCGCCAGGAGACGGAGAGGTGCGTGCTCCGCGAGAGGCGAGAATCAGGACGGACGTTGTTGGCGCCATCGACGATGCAAGGGAGATCATCGATTCCGCACTCGCGCAGGGCCTGAAAAACGAAGGATCCTGCAGGGATGCAGGCTTGCCCAAACTCGTGTTGGTTGTGGCACATGGCGGAGGCAACTGGTGTCTCTTCCGAAAGTTCCTGATGATGTAGGGACCGGAGCGTCCCTGCCGCAGCCCTGGCACCACAATTGCGCATCTCTGCAGGTCTTAGAGGAGATTGGGGCTGCTCCTTGCAAATCTTCGACGGCTACAGACGGGTTCTGAAGGACGCCTTTCTTCAGGGGGCAAAAGGATTCGTCATCCCTCTGAAGAAGAACAGCGCTGGTAGTTAAAGTGGAGGGCGAAGGCCAGGAGTCATGTTGCTGTTGGAGAAGAGTGTTCTTGTAGCCGGCCAGCAGCTGCTGTGGATCCGGAATGTGGTGTTCATCGAAGTGTTGGTCCGGTGGTTGAAGAAGGTGGGAGAACGCCCACAGAGCTTGCAGCGGAGCTGCAGCCTGCCCCAACATGGGGAGGGAGCAGCGTCCAGGTTCCAAGGGGATGACCGGGAATTCGGTGAGCAGCAAAGAAGCCTCGGCTGCATGCAGGAGGCGAAGTCGATCTCCTTCTTGCGGCCGTACACCGAAGCCTCGAAGTCCATGATCCCGCAGTCGCCGGATCCCCGACATCCACATGGACACCCGGTCAGCGCATGTCCGTAGCTGTGCAAAATGATCGGACATTGCATGTCCAAAGTTACCTCTCGGACATCGGATCCAAAGGAACGGTCCATGTAGTAGGCAAGCTCGTGGTCCGTGAAGCGCAGCAGCTCCTCCTCCGAAGATGCCCAGGATGGGAAGTTCGGGTCGACTGGCCAGGATGGGCCATTGTTTGCCAAAATGATCTAGACCAAGTGCCATTGCATGCGAAGTCGCGGAGAGCTTGCTGTAGCGGAAGATGATGAGCAACCTCCACCACACATTCGAGAATCAGGCCCAGCGCCTGGTGCAGATAGGCGGAGCGAAGAACCCCCCAGAACGCCTGTGCGCAGCTCCAGGGTTGTACTACCTCCTCAAATGGCGAACTGCGGAGTCCATGGCTGCGCAGATCGTGGCGCCCCCCGCCATGCAACCATGGCCGATACCTCCAATGCCAGCGCAGTTCTCCTTCGTGCGCCGGGAGCCCCCCATGGTGGGCCAGCCGGGAGCACCTGTGAGCCGCCCTCCTGCAACTGAAAGAAGTAGAGCGTGAAGCGCTGGCCGAGCGCAAGCTCCAGGTCGGTGAACACCGTCTGGCCAGTGCCCGCAACTGTGCACTCCAGGGTGCAATCCTCCGCCCGCCGCTCCGTCGCGACAACTCCCAGTGAAGATCACCCCCGGCTCGGCCAGGCACAACCATGGACGCCCTCCCATTGTTACCCTCCCCAAGTGTTTGGCCGACCCAGCTTCACCGCTGGGAGGGACTTGGGCCGAAGCTGGACGTATGACACAATTTGCTAAATTTTAAATATGGCCAATTGGAAGAAGGACGGAACAAATGAAGCAGGCAGCTTGTTTTATTGGTTTTTGGCTCGATGCTGCGGGCCAGGAGATCATGAAGGAGGTGGAGACCATGATCGACGGAGCACTGCTGGCACAGTCGCTGGAACGTTTGGAGGTCCAGATTCGGCACTTCTCGGACCAGCTGAACTGGGCCACCAGGGCCTTCAATTTCATGGAGCCGGAGGCCAGGCTATCTTACGCCCTTGCTCTGGAGAATGAAGCCGGAAGTCTCAGAGATCTGCTCTTCCTGGATTGCTTGAAGTCCTTCGGCAGCCAAAAATGCCTCTCGGCAAAGTCCTGTCGCTCAGGGCTTGTAGAACGTGGCCATGCCAAGGTGCCGACACGCTGAATAATGGGGGCGTCTTCATGTTGCAGGAGATCATGAATGTCCATTTCTCACTTATCTATGAGATCCTCAAAGCTTTGGACAGGGATGCTTCCAGGAAGGCAAGCTTGCAAGCAGCTTTTTTTCCAATAGTTGTGACTGCCTGACTGCCTTGTTTGCAGGGCTACGAGCAGCTCCTCATGCTGACCTTCAACCACATCGGGTGTCCAAACCAGGCGCCAAACCTGGACTACTGGAAGACTGTGGACGCGGGCTCGGCCATTGCGGACATGAAATCATATTGCACGGCGAGACCTGGACAGCCACAACCAACTAACAATAATTTTCTAGGGGGTCAGCAACCAAGAAAGCAACGGCGTTTCCGAGGACTGCTGCGGGCACCGCAAACCAGGGCCAGCTGAACCAGTGCTGCAGCCCTGCGGGCTGTGCGGACACGCCGGTCTGTCGAGATGTCCCAATCCTCATGGACTACGGGAAGGCCTTTGAAACTTTGGCGTTGCGAAAGCCCTCGCGCGCCATGCTTTTGCGTGGGGCTCAGGCAAGCGCTGTATCCCATTTTGCCAGGCGTGGGACCGGCTCATGGTCGACTCCTTCAACCTCATCGGGTGCCCAAATGAATCGCCTGATTTTTCCTATTGGAAGAGGCAAAGCAAGCAAACAATCCTCACGGACATGTACAACTACTGCACTGCGAGACTTGACTGGAATGCCTGTTGGTTCGCTCGTACCAGCTTTCGTTTCTCTGAGGAACCAGAATGGAGGGGCCCCCAATTCTCAACAGACACAGTGTTGTGGTGACGTGCGGCCCTGCGTCACGGACGGTTGCCAGCGGCTGACCGACTACCACGACAGGGCGTGTCTTGGACGAGTTTTTGCGGGAAGGGAGCGCATGCATGGATTGTGATATTAACATCGCCAGTTGTCCCTTCAGGCGTTTGCTGCGCGATACCATCATTCTTAAGTACGAGCAGATGCTTGCAGACTACAGGCGAAGCTGTTGGAGCGTGCCGGTGTTGCGTGTTTCCATATGATTTTGTGGCCAGGCAGGTGTGGGTCCCTGCCAAGAAGAAGTTCCTGATGCAGCGCCTGGAGGCCGTCCGGGGAGACCGCCGGCGCCGCGCAAGTTCTTACAAAGATTCAGTGACTGGCACGACGATTCACGGGATGCTTGGCAGAGAAGTTGTGCTAAGCCAGGGACCGGGAGGACCTTTGAATAGCAAAGTGTCCAGGGTATAATCTCGCATGCCCCTTTTTCTAGGTCACATGGAGTGGACGCGCATCGAACCGCCTCAACTGCTCTGTCAAGCTGCCAGAGAACAGAAGAACAAATCCTTGCGCGGAACATCATCTCGGGCCATGATGGCTTCACCGCCAACGCGAACGCAAAGACGAGCTCACATCCAAAAAACAGCTTCCCCGTTGGCAGCATTCTCACTGTGGTCAATGGCTGAATGTTGAGTCTCGCTGACTGCCTACATGGCCCAATCCTGCAAACTCCGGAAAAAACTAGAGGACGATTGGCCCGAAAGCATTTTTCCCCAAGCGCTCTTCCAGCCGCGGAGACACCTTTTTACATCGATGCTGCGTGCACGCGGCGATGCTCAATGTGTATGGTCACATGAGAGCTCCATCTCATCGTCCTACGAGAGGCAACATGGCAGTGTCTGCGCAAGCTGCATTGTTCCAGGCTGCTGCGCGCAAGTTGCTCTCTGCAAGCTGCTGCACGCAAGCGGCTCGACATCTGTCTTCAAGCTGTTCTGCGCACGTTGCTCTGTGCAAGTTTCTCTGCGCAAGACGCTCGGCGCTTGTATCTGCGCGCAAGATGCTCAGCCGGAGCTGAGCTGTGGAGGTGCTCCGCGCACTATACGTCTGCGCTTCAGGGTTGCGATTTTCCGGTCGGAGCCGCCAGGAGTACGCTCCACATACTACGGCTTCTTTGCTTGAGCCGGAGCTGCGACCGCGCGATTGCGAAAGCAGGCGCGCGAACCACGAGACAACTTCCAAAGGCCATTTCGCGAGTAATAAAACCGCACGGCGCCACAGCGAGAGCGCTTCCCTCGACCACGCCGACCCCCGCAGAGGGTCGCGCCGGCACCGAAGAATCGCAAAAAACCTCGAGCTTTTGCACCTTGACCACGCCGATCCCCGCAGAATCGCAAACAACGTTGTGCCGATGATCCGCGCAGAGGGTTGCGCCGGCACCGCAAGAATCGCAAAAAACCTCGAGTTTTTGTACCTTGACCACGCAGATCCCCGCAGAGTCGCAAGAAACCTCGAGTTTTTGTGCCTCGGCCACGCCGATGCCCGCAGAGGGTTGCAATCCCGATCGACGATCAAAGTCCTGCCCCGGCGCCCTAGAAAGCTACACTTAACTTACGTAGCTGCTAACGCCGAAGCGCTATGCACTTGGCTCTAGGCACTTGGCTCTATGCACTTGGCTCTATGCGCTTGGCTCTACGCACTTGGCTCTACGCGCTCGGCTCTATGCACTCGGCTCTGCGCAGCTCTATGCACTCCTCTCTACGCACTCGGCTCTGTGCGCTCGGCTCTATGCACTTGGCTCTATGCGCTTGGCTCTATGCACTTGGCTCTATGCACTTGGCTCTACGCACTTGGCTCTACGCACTTGGCTCTATGCAGGTGGCTCTATGCACTTGGCTCTATGCACTTGGCTCTGTGCGCTCGGCTCTATGCACTTGGCTCTACGCACTTGGCTCTATGCACTTGGCTCTATGCACTTGGCTCCATGCACTTGGCTCTACGCACTTGGCTCTATGCACTTGGCTCTACGCACTTGGCTTTTTGTATTTGGCTCTGCGCAAGTGACTCTATGCAAGTTGGTCCGAGAGCTCCGCACGGAAGAGCCCTTCGGGATGCTTTCGGGAGAAAGAAAAGACCTGACCGTTTGTGCGGCTTGTTATGAACTACTTGAATTCTGATCCTGGGACGGGTCTCATCCAGTCGCACGCAGGTCTTGGCTCACCTGCCCAACTCCCTGCCTGGGTCTGGTTCTGCAAAACGGGCCTCTATTGTTGAGCGATTGCTGTGAGCATGTGCAGCTTTCATGCGTGTGAGAACGGCTGCTTGTGTGGGCGTTACCTGGGGCTAAGCTGCGGGCTAAGGCTGTTTAGTGAGATGAAAATCAATGTATACTGTGAGGGGCCTTTTCTTGCAGGTATGATAAAATGAATGCCTACCTGCGCGAGCTCCACGAAGATGAAGAGATCAAGCTGGGAGTCGGCGACCAGCTTTTGCAACCAGATGCTGCCTGGAAGGGAAGGGACTGAGGTGCGCGAGGTCACTGCCCTGTTGGAGACTGTTAGGAGGAGCAAGAATGAGCCCAGATGCGCGTTTCTTGACCTTCCCGTGCGTGCAGCAACTCTTGCTGCGCACAAAAAGATTAGCAGAAGGGTAGATAGAGTTGGGCGAAATCATTGAGTTTTTGGCTTGTCATTTGGCTTTCAAAGATGTAAGCTTGTTGAATGAGGTTTAGCGCACACTTCCGTAGTACTGCAACCTTTTGTCATGCTACTTGAAAATGCACCACACATGTTACATGCGTGCTCATGATGCTGCATGTGTCATTGTGGGCTGGCTTCTTCAGAGTCTGATTTGAATCTTCTTTAGAAGACACGCGCTCACGTTTACTGCCCTCAACTGTTGGGGGTCTTTGCCCTTCTACAACCAACACAACCTGTCTACATTGTAGAGCAGCTGAGCGGGCCAGGTGTGGGAGCTGCACATTTGGTTGGCAATGCGGCCACACACACAACACCTTTTGACAAGGGCGCAAGAATGGGCATGAACCAAGCGAGCGTGGGCTAAGAGGGCTCTTGCTGTAGCAGCGCCCCTGGCTGCCAGCCAGAAGACCAAGAATTCTGCCTGAGCAGCTGGCTGCCCGCAGGAGCCGAGGCATGTAGGGCGCCCAGCAAGGCGTTCAAGCTGCGGCGTGCAGAATGTATAGCAGCGAACCAAAGTTGCAAAACACTGGAGAACCGTGCAGGCAATCCAGCAAATAAGAGACAACCGACCCCGCATCCAGCAGCCAAACCACGCCTTCCATAGCCATCAGTCAAGAGCCCTACCAAAAAAATGTTTGTGGAACGAGCTCAGACTTGACACGGCCAGCGCGCCCACAGCCTGAAGGGGAAGGCACTGGACCTTCAAGACGTGGTTCGATCGAATTGTCCCAAGTTGTTTCTGCTTATCCAAGGTTTATTTGGCAAGAGAGTTCCTGAGCGTCGTCCCGAATGAAAAAATGGGTGACCTCTACTTTGACTATGATTGCCAAACAGCGGCAACTATTTTCGGAGAGTTCAGCTCGGGAAGTGATATGTGGGTGTTCGCCAATGGAGTGAGCGGACACGTGAAACTCTGGATTGATAATTCTGACTGCCGAAGCCCCTGCTGCGGCCGCTGGGAGCCACGGGATGGCAAGACT